TTGTCGGGACAGGTCTGGAAGGGAAGAGATCTGATATGGGATAGAGATCTTTGCAGGAGTCTGGGCGTCTGACTCCTCTCTCCCCCCCCCCCAGGTGTACTTGGCAAAAGTTGCGGGCCTGGTCAAGAACTGAACTGATTTTCTCACTTGCTTTGTGTGGCTCCCTGGGTTGGTTGGCTGGTTTGTTTAAAGGCATTTGGTAAGGAAAAGTGCTTGAGATGGGAGGGAGAACATTATTCCAAAATCTTTGCTCTGGATGTGCTGGACAAAGGGTCTGATGTGGAGCAGAGTGTTCACCTTTAACCCATATCCTCCCACCCTGGGGAGCTGGGCTCTGCCCACACTGGTGGTAACTGGGGAAAAAAAAAAGAAAACATGTTCGGATAGATAGACAGATTCCTTTCCACGCCAGCCAGGATGTGCCTGGTCTCTAAAGGGTCCAGTGTGCATTCCTTACTTTACCCATGGGATGGATCAAGAGAGGATGCTGCTGGAAAGGATGGTGGTAGCCGTGTGGTTGGATACTCCCATCTCCCCCCTCTGACTGGGCTATGGAGCACTCTGACAAAAGTGCTGGTCACAAACATGGGAAAGCTATTTCCCCTGGATGACACCTCCCATGACACACACACACACCCCGCCGAGCCAGCCAGGCAAGGACATTTGGGGAATTTGTAGTCCTAAAAACTAATTTTTCCCAAGCCGTGGTTTCATGTGTGTACACACACACACACATGCACACGCATGTAATTGGAAAGTGTGGCTCAAGTCATTGATGAGGGCAGCATCTGGTGGGAGAAGGATTTTAGAGGAGACCCAAGTAGGATTTGGGATGGATGGGCATTGAAGACTGCCCTGTTTCCACCTTCCAGATGATGCTGTCCTGCTTCACAGATAGGTTGTGCATTTCATTGGCGCCGCCACAAAGAGACACAGAGGTGGCAGAAATAGCTCCATGTGTGTATTTGAAGACTCACTCTCCAGAAAGTCTTCTGTGATTGCTGTTTCACTTATTCTTATTTGCTTGAGAGTGAGTCTTGTTTAATTTACTGGGTCTTAATTATTTCCAAGTAAACAGGAACAGGATCACAGGCAACAGCATCAGTAGAGAGTGGACTTAGGTCGTGCCCTCTATTCAGTAGGACTGAATATCAAACTGTCCTTTTGAGCTTTGTTTGCTGAGATGAGAGCTAAAACATACTGGCAAACAAGGTCTGAATAAGTGTTAGGGAAGGCGGGAGGGGGGGAGGAATCCCACACTTTCCAGTTTAGTTTAAACATCTCCTGATTATAGGAACCAAAGAATGGTCTTGGAATGGTTTTTGGTGTTTTTTTTTAAAAAAAGCAATAACCAGGCTGCAATATGCCGTCTTTGGTACACACCCTTTTAATGTAGCCATTTATGTCCAAAGGAGCTGGAAAGAGACAGCAGCACCATTTAGAAAGTTTGCAGCTCCACCCCTACCCACCCCTTCTCGTCTTCACTCACACCATCATCCCACTGACATGACTTTTTAAAATGATTTTTTTAAAAAAGCAATTTGATTTCAATCATTATTTAAAAATTTAAAAATCAGTTTTTATTTAAATAGTCAAAAAAAACCCTGAATTTTAATATTTAAATCATGATGTGATTTAAATCAACTTGATTTAAATCAAGTCCACCTCGGGTTTGAGTGTTTTTATTTGGTAGGACTGCAGGAGAAGCATCCATTAGATTGTGTCCCTTATGAACATAGGTGTGTAAAACCAACATGTATCTACTCAAGGGTAGGTTCCTTGATGTGTTTAAGGTTGGTGCCGAAGAGAGGCAAAAACACCCCACTCACTTTCTAACTTCATGGTGTTTTCTGCTGAGTAGGGCTGGCTCCAGAAATTTTTTGCTGCCTGAGGCAAAGGACAAGGTGGTGCCTACTCCTATCTCACACATCAAAGCTGATTAGACTGGCAGTTGAATGTTACCTAACCTTTGGCATCTAAGTAGCATCGTCTACTACACTGGTTCTTAACCTTGGGTTACTCAGGAGTTTTGGACTGCAACTCCCAGAAGCTTTCACCACCAGCTGTCCTGATTGGGGTTTCTGGGAGTTGCAGTTCAAAAGCATCCAAGTAACAAAGGTTAAGAACCACTGGTCTACTAAACCGGGGTGGTGGTGGTGGTGGTTACAGGCTAGTTTAGCCTTGTAGTGCAGTGGTTAAACTGCAGTACTGCAGCCAAAATTCTGCTCATGACCTGGTAGCTGGCTCGAGGTTCACTCAGCCTTCCATCCTTCCAAAGTTGTTAAATTGAGTGCCCAGTTTGCTGGGGTGTGTGTGTGTCAATGTGTACCCTGCACAATTAAATTATAAACTGCCCAAAGAGAGTTTTAGATGCTATGGGTGATATGTAAGCAGCATACTTTTGCTTTGCTTTTTTTTAAAATGGAGACAAGAATGAGGTATGCTTGAATTTACCATCCCACTGTGTTCCCTCCAGCATCTGCGGTCTGAGGTAGCTGCCACCCTTTGCCTAGTGGTAGGACTGACTCCATTGCTCAGAAGGAACAATGTGTTCCTTGGTTCTTGCCCTCACTTCGTATTAAGATTTGACTCTGTGCCTGCTGTCGCTGGGACCTATCACACCCTTTTATTTCCCTTGAAAGCTATAGAGAGGGAGGCCAGGGGTCCCTGCTATGGTGCAGGCACTTTCCCACATTGACTGGCTGGTTGGAAGCAGGAGGGTCAGAAATGTACCTGTGGGGCTTTGGCACCAGACACAGAAATTTAGAGGATGCAAAGTTTTGTTGCTGGAAGGGTGAAAACCTGCCCGCCCTCAGAATGCACATCGCTTCTTCTTGGGCAGAAGGAAACACAAACCAAGCAAGCGCAGCACAGAACCCTCAGGTCAGACCTTCCTCCCAATCTCATGGGGCCCAGGCTGAACCAAGAGGACAGCAAAGCCCTTAGGTGCCGAAGTGGCTAGTGAGGGCTCTGAGGATAATGGTGATGAGTTCCCTCCCCTCTGCCTTCACACTGCTCCAGGAGAAGGCAGTATCTTGAAAAGGAGCACAGGACCAAAGACAAGATCCTGCTAAAGGAGCACAGGAAGGGTCCTACCAGGCAGCCTGGCTGGATTGTCCCACTGCTTCAGAGAGTTCAACAGCATTGATGGCCTAAAATGTGTCCCTGTGATAGACCTCTCCCTCAGGAGAATCCATGTGCCATTCCACTTCTCAAAAGTAACTGAGACTGTTACTTTTAGGGACTTTCAAAACATGTAGCAGCACGGCATAAGCCAGCACTTGAGCCATATAATACTCTTCCATTGGGTGGCACTAAATAAAAAGTGGCAATTACGTGGCAGGAAGAGGGAAGTTATTTTCTTACATTAATGCTGTTGGAAAAGTCATTCCATCACAAGTAACTCATGGGCTGAAATGGGGTAGCAAATTGCAGCTCAAGTAGGCCCACTGGCTCCGTGGGGCTTTGGTGAGTTGACTTCACAGAAAATTCCATTGATTCAGTGGGCCTACTCTAGTTATTACGTGCTGTTGATTTCAGCCATGTCTGTAACTGTGTTGACTGCTACAACTCCATTCATAATTGGGGCTGATGCTGGAGGTTCCTTGGGCCAGCCCTGCCTCTGCTTCCCAATTTCTTGGTCTTCTCATTGTTTCTCCCTCTCTCCTCTCCTTCTTTCCCCCTCCTTCCTCTGATGCATCTGTTGATTTGCTGGATTTCGGATCAGTTACACTTCACAGGGTTTGGAACTGATTACACTCAAAGGACTTGTAAAATAAAGCTGAGGGCTGAAAACATCACTGGGGTCCCAGGTTGCACACCCCTACTCTAGGGCGGATAGGTAAGCCCAGCGTGT